CTTGACATGTGAAATAAGTCACACTCAACATAGTTTTGAGCTAGTCATTTGGCTTTTAATTGTATCTTTTAATACAAGAAGCATGTCAAGATGCTTTTTCAACTAGATATAATAATACCTACAGTAATTTTGAGATCATAGGGTGAAAAACAAGAAGAAAGTTTATTTTGGGGGTTATATCAAAGTATTCAAGAAATAATTTCACTACCAATGATTTTTTAAAAAATCACTGTGAATGTATCAATGTAACAATTAATTAATTAATTAATTTGAGACTGAGCCTTACTCTGTCTCCCAGGCTGGAGTGCAATGGCTCACTTTTGGCTCACCGTAACCTCCACCTCCCAGGTTCAAGCAATTTTCATGCCTCAGCCTCCCGAGTAGCTGGTACTACAGGCATGTGCCACCACACCTGGGTAATTTTTGCATTTTTAGTAGAGATGGGGTTTTACCATGTTGGCAAGGCTGGTCTCGAACTCCCGATCTTAAGTAATCTGTCCGCCTCAGCCTCCCAAAGTACTGGGATTACAGGCGTGAGCCACTGTGCCCAGCCCAATGTAACAAATTTAAATTGTTAAAATGTGTAAGAGAATATGGTATATTGGGAAAAAGTTCACATTAATATAATTTACTTTCAAATAATTACTATTTATGTTTGAAGTAGAGACATAGCCTACTCAAAAATAGTGCTTTGCAAATTTTGGCCTTTTTTATTTTTAGTTGACACACAATTGTACATATTTATGGGGTACAGAATGACATTTTAATACATGTATACAATGTGATGATCAAATTCGGGAAATTAGCATATCCATCATGATATTCTCTTCAATAAATGATGCTGGGCAAGTCCTGTCTTCCTCACCATATACAAACCCAACTCAAAATTGTTTAAAGACTTAAATGTAAGACCTGAAACCATAAAACTACTAGAAGAAAACATGGATGAATTGCTTCAGGACATTGGTCTAGGCAAAGGTTTTATGGATAAGACTTCAAAAGCACAGATTTTGACTTTTGTCTGTTTATGGGAAAGAGGCAAATCTTAAGAACTGAAGAAGTCCTTAAAGTAGCAGAACAAAGGAAATGAATGGTGTATAGATTTGGCATTCTTTGTGGGGTCATATAGATTTTAAAAGGAAACTGAGCAGAGGATCTGAGGGGGTAAAAAGGATTAAAAACTTCCTGGTATCGTTAGACACAACAACTTTTACCAGTCTGTGTTTTCCGTTTTAGTTTCTATGGTATTATCAATAGTTTCTGCTCCATTAAACTGTTAGTGTTAATCATCTTGGTGGATTCTGAAAAACATTGGCTAACTTCCCTGCTTTTCTTGCTTTGCTATGTGTAGTTTTCACTGTGGAGCAGTTATTTTCATTGTTGTCAAAAAAGACACCTGCAGGATGATTGAGGAAGAAGAAACTGAGGACTGTGGTGGCTGAGATCTTAAACCAAAAAAAGAGCAAGGGTTGATAAAACATATTTTTATCTTAATAATTTGTTCAACATTACAGAAATTTTCCATCCAAAGCTATAATTGTTTTTTCTCATTAGAGAAGTGGTAAAGCAAAAGCCCTTCAGTGAAGGAAGATTCCTAGAGAAGGGAAGAGCCATCACATCACTTCTCAATTCTATCCTTGAGTTGTGCTGACGCCATCAGCACCAGCAGCTGTAGTGGCCGTGTGTAAACAGGGAGGGACCTGTCTCTGTGGAGACCCGGCTTCCCATGAGACCATATGCAGTAGACATTTAGTTAGGGTTTAATAAACGTTGATTATGGAATAACTTTAATCAACAGTTGTAATTGTTTTGAGTGCTTATTAATGTCTTGAAATGACTTCTTCTTGGACTAGGGGAACCTAAGATACTACAGTTGTGAGAGATGAAGTTGTATAACTGAACTCTTCCGTATTTATTTAGCCTATCCAAAATGGTTTTGTTTTTTTTTTTAACAGAACCTAAGGGCATACCGAGAAAGTAAACTTGTGTAGAACTTACTTTACCGCTATGTTCCAAGCATTTAGGTAATGTTTAATTACATACAATTAATTACATTTAATTATATGAAATCATGATGTTAACCCTGAGTCCTGTTCCTGCTTTTGGTAAAATTCAGGCCAAATATCAAAAGCCAGGTACACAAAATATATCGTTCCAAACTGTTCTCATAAAATGTTTTTTGCTTACCTGCCAAGAGTTATAAAAAAAGAAAGATAAAAATTATTTTGTCGGTCAGTCCTTCTGCATTCAGCTTACATGTCCCAAGGCGTCACATATTTCCGTTTGTTATCAGGATTGTCTCTGGTGCTTTTTACAAAAATATTGATAGGGAATTGTTGGTCCTAAAGATGGGCAAGGATACAGGTGTATAAATCCCTTCTCAGAATACAGTCCCAAATAAGCAGTGGGTCTGCATGTCCGAGCTTCCACACAGAAAAGTCAACTACTCTGGGGGACCTGGGGACATTTCTCCAATGGCCTGCGACAAGGCCAGCTTTTTTTTTTTCCCCAGTTAGAAAAAGTGTTGATGCGATCACAGCAATAAAAAGGAATGAACTGCAGCCAGGCGCGGTGGCTCAAGCCTGTAATCCCAGCACTTTGGGAGGCCGAGACGGGCGGATCACGAGGTCAGGAGATCAAGACCATCCTGGCTAACACGGTGAAACCCCGTCTCTACTAAAAAATACAAAAAACTAGCCGGGAGAGGTGGCGGGCGCCTGTAGTCCCAGCTACTCGGGAGGCTGAGGCAGGAGAATGGCGTGAACCCGGGAGGCGGAGCTTGCAGTGAGCCAAGATCCGGCCACTGCACTCCAGCCTGGGCGACAGAGCGAGACTCCGCCTCAAAAAAAAAAAAAAAAGGAATGAACTGTTGATAGGTGCAACAACACAGGTGAATCTTAAAATAACCATGGTGAAAGAGGCCAGAAAAAAAGGAGTACATTCTGTATGATTTCATTTTTATAAAATTCTAGGAAATGCAAACTCATGTATAGTGACAGAAGAAATCAGTGGTTGCCTGCGGATGTCGGGTGTCGGGAGAAGACTGGGGCAGTGGGCGGGAGGTAGGATTACAAAGGGGCATGAGAAAACTGGGAGGTAATGGTTATGTTCATTATCTTGATTGTGGTGGCAGTATCATGGGTGCATACATATGTCAACATTTGTCACATTGTACATTTATATCTGTGCACTTTAATGTTTGTCTATTATACCACAGAGAAAATCAGAAGGGGAAATATTGTATTACTGTTGTAAACAGAAATCAGTTGACACTTGTCATAGACAGCAGGTAAGAAGGAAAATAAATGCAATTAAAACAAAACAATTAAAGAAAAATCTGCCTTCTACTGTGGAATCTGGGGCATAGGAAAGCCCCCTGTGTTTGATAATTACACTCTTATCTAATGTTTGACTCTCAAAATATCTTTGTTGATTGGCAGGCAATTATGTTTTAACTGTCAAGAGCTGGGTTTTGGGTCCGAGTGCCATGGCTCACGCCTGTAATTCCAGCACTTTGGGAGTTTGAGTCAGGAGGATTGCTTGAGGCCAGAAATTCAAGACCAGCCTGGTCAACACAGCGAGACCTCATCTCTAAAGTAAAAAATTAGAGAAATTATCTAGGCATGATGACGCGTGCTTTTAGTCCCAGCTACTCAGAGGCTGAGCCGAGAGGATTGCTTGAGCCCAGGAGTTTGCAGTTACAATGAACTATGATTGTGGTGCCACTGCACTCCAGCCTGGGTGACAGCATGAGAGCCTATCAAACAAAACAAAGCAAAACAAAAAAACAGCAAGAGCAGGGGTTTTGGAGTTGGGAAGAGCAGACGTGGGTTTGGCACAGTGGCCCAGTCATCTGCTAGCCGTGGGACTTGGGGCAAAACAGTTGCCTTTTTTTTTTTTTTTTTCCTGAATCTATGAAATGGGTTGGTAGAAGCATAGTAAGTCCTCAATAGATGGAAGCCATTTTCGTCACTATTTTTATTTGCTTCACATTGTGATTTACACAAGATTTTTAAAATGTAGGTAGTTTGGGGTGAGAACATACAGTATTCTGAATTCACGAGGGGGCGTGTCCATATTACCATGGAGAATCGAGTACTTTAGCAGAGCGTTGCCAAAAAAAAGAAGAGGCCAGCACAGGAAGGGAAAGGAGCACAGGGACAGGAACCTAGGATTTGTCAAGATGCCCACTTTTTTCTGTGCTCTTCTCAGGGGGCATCGAGTTCCTAGGTGACCCTCTGCTACGGTTTCACTGCTTTTGGTGACCTCTGCTCTTTGCAGGCTTTGTTTTGAATTCATTAGTCTTTTCCCTTGTTAAATTATAAGGCCATTGCTTAAATTACAGCACTTTTTTCTCAGGAGTGCTGTATTTATGTTTGCTTGTTTAGAAATTCATTCTGGCGTTTAGCATATGTACTTTTTATCATTCATCTGTAGGAAAAATGTTGGACTTTTAAAACGTTTTGCTTAAAATTGACTGATAGATTTGGTTTAATCTGACTTTTCATTAGCTTTATAAACTTAAAAATAATATATATATCTATGTATACTTATGGAAGTAAAAGTTGATCAGTTTATCTTAATTGGTCATATTGTTGATATATAAGTTTGGAGGAATATATGGTAAAAATATACTTTCTTTAACTCTGAAATAATGTCATTTTCATGTATAGAAACTAACAGAATTACTTGCTTTCCCATGAACTTGGCCTAGTTTTTTCTTCTGCCAGCTGGTGGCAGGGATTTGACAAGTGATTGATTTGGTTTCAGTGGGTCCTGGAATTACACAAAGTGTTTTTTATATTGGAGAAGACATGCCCAGTTTTTCACAAGTTTTAAGATTTATTGCCTCACCCTAACATGTTGCAAATTAGTTTATTTGCTATTTATTTTACTCAGAATGTAGTAATTGGTGTCATTAGTGGAAGGGAAAATTTGATCACAAGAAAGGGCAGACAGCTATTTAACACTACTTATTTGTTTCTTTGGCAACTTTGCAGGGCTGGAGATAAGATGGGTAGACTGCTACTTTCCTTTTACACATCCTTCCTTTGAGATGGAGATCAACTTTCATGGAGAATGGCTGGAAGTTCTTGGCTGCGGGGTGATGGAACAACAACTGGTCAATTCAGGTACAAAAGAATCCCACATTTTATTTACACATGCTCTAAAGGAACCCTCCCTTCTCAGGCAGCCCCACGGCACCCTTGCAGGTATTTACATACTTCTGTGGGGGCAGCAGCATCATTGGTCTCTCTTCAGAGACCCCTGTAGACTTGTCTTTGATACTAAGCCCTGGAAAAACTTATTTCTCACGTATCTATTTGCGAAGGCTCTTTGTCTTTGGAGATCCTCCTTGTCAGCACTTGGCTGCTGGATTTGTACTTTGTGATTTCGTGTTTGTTGATATGTTGCTTTGTAATTGCCCCAAAGGCATTTGCTGCATGTCACAGGAGTGTAGTTTGTCTTTCAGACTATTTAAGAACAAAGACAATGCATAATCCATTTTTGTTCTTACTGCACTTAGTATAGTGTCCCAAATTCAGCAAGTATTTTATAAATACACTAAAACGCAGTGTAAAAACACATAGGCCCATGATGCTTAATCCATCACCTCCCTCTGCATGCCACCTGACTGAGAGAAAATGGAAACACAAGGTTGCTGATTGAATTCTACCCATATCTATAGGCATTTCAGAAGGATCTGTCTGGCTCTTTTCTGTAAGACCATTGCTGTGAGTTCTTTTTTTAAGTCACTATCTGAGTTTAGTATTTTTTTAAGTAACTATCTGAATTTAGTATTTTTTAAAGTCACTATCTGAATTTGATTTTTTAAGTCATTGTCTGAATTTAGTACTTTTTTGAAGTCACTATCTAAATTTAATTTAAAAATATTACAGGCTCGTGCCTGTAGTCCCAGCACTTTAGGAGGCTGAGGTGAGTGGATCACCTGGGGTCAGAAGTTCGAGACCAGCCTGGCCAACATGGTGAAACCCTGTCTCTACTAAAAATACAAAAATGAGCCGGGTGTGATGGTGTGCCTGTAATCCCAGCTACTTGTAAGGTTGAAGCATGAGAATCACTTGAACCCGGGAGGCCGAGGTTGCAGTGAGCCGATATTGCTATACTCCAGCCAGCCTGGGCAGAAGAGCAACACTCAGTCTAAAAAAAAAAAAAAAAAAGAAAAAAAAATTATATATATATATATATATATATATTTTTTTTCTTTTTTTCTTTTTTTCTTTTTTTTTCTTTTCAGAATATAAATCCTCCAAGAAAAAAAGGGAAAGTTGGTTTGGATCAGGCATGTGAGCTCACTGCATAAGCAGTGAGGAACTGATGTAGATTGTTCAGGAAACCTTTCTGGTTCTACTCCCTTAGAAGGACACTTGCTGCTTGGCCTTGGAGGGCAGTTCTGACTCAGGGTTCACCGCCCAGCCTCTTGTAGCAGAATGAAGAGGGGTCCTTCTTGGTAGCTAAGCAAGGTGAATAGACCATGGGTAAGGACATATATGTGGTGATGGGCTTGGAAAATGAGGATGAGCAGAGAGTGACGAGGCAGGGTGCATGGAGTGCAGGAGCTTGTGTTACCTTGGCTGGGAGACTGGAGGCCTGGCCTTCCCTTCTTACTCTTAGGTACTCTCTGTCTGCAGAGGCCTGGACTCCACAGGCTCCCAGATTCCTCTTCATCCTGCTGAGGAAGCCTCAGGAGAAAGCCTGGCACAGGGCTGGAGGCTTCGTGGGCAGTTTTAAAATAGGTGAAGAGCTGTCCTAGGGGAGAGGGAGCATAGGGGTTGACAGCAGGACCTGGGAGGAGAAGTTGTGAGGCCTGGGCTTAGGTGTCTGGAAACCCGGGGTTTTTGTCACAACTCTGTTCATTAACAGCTGTGTATCTTTAGGCAGGTTCATCACCCCATGAGCCTAGGCCTTCTCATGGTTAAGATGGGTGCAGGGATACACCCTCAGAGTTCCATTATGGGGATAGATTGAGAGGATTCCTCTAACGTGCTTAGCAAAGCGTCTGGCACACAGTGAACATTCAATAAAAATGAACTGCTGATGTTGTTATACTTACAATTTTTCTAATGGTTAGAGCCATTTATCAACAGAGGGTCCCCTTAGTAGGAAATATTTAAACGGAAGTTGTTCCTGCCTGTCATAGAAACAATTTCTAACCAAATGTAATTTGTTACCTCTTTGACCTCTAGTCATGTCTGTGTCTGCGATTTTATACTGAGTGAGTGATTTTACAGGGAAAAAGAAAAGTAAGAGTAATAAACAGGAAGAAAAGGAAAATCAGCTTAATAGACTTATATGCATCTCAACAGAAAACGTAAAATACCGGGCGTGAATATGAAATATTTAATCTCTCCTTGAGTAGGAGCTGACTTCAGATGCCTCTGTGATGTTTTGATAGTTTTGTTTTTTAGAAAAAGACTTGAATGGCTGCTCGGCTTCCTCCCAGCAGTGCCTGGTGTCAGGAGGCTGGAGCTCAGAAAGCAAATCAGGGATGATCAGCTTACACATCAGTTGTTGCTTGGAATTGCACTTCCTTGCACGGTTTCCAATATCCTTGATGGGTTTTTATGAGGTTGATTCACACAGTAATTGGCTGAATATTGTTATCTGAAACAGGTTTCAAAGTCATTATTGCACATTAATGAGGCTGCTGTTCTGCAATTAGATCTGCCGTGTTAGATATTCTTGAATGGAATGATAAAGTGAAAAAGACACTTAAGTTGTAAATATGTTTCAGAGATTCACAGTGATGGTAGGATGTGCTTTGAGTTTTGGGGAAACTGTATACATAAAAATTAATTAATTAATTAATTTTTGAGACAGAGTCTCACTCTGTTGCCCAGGCTGGAGTGAAGTGGCGTGATCTCAGCCCACTGCAACCTCTGCCCCCGCCCCTGGGTTCAAGCGATTCTTGGGCCTCAGCCTCCCGAGTAGCTGGGATGACAGGCACCCTCCACCACACCTGGCTAATTTTTGTATTTTTAGTAGACATGGGATTTTACCATGTTGGCCAGGCTGGTCTCGAACTCCTGACCTCAGGTGATCCACCCAGCTTGACCTCCCAAAGTGCTAGGATTACAGGCATGAGCCACTGCGCCCAGCCATAATGCAAGAGAGGGAAACTAAAGAAATGGAAGAAGAGACAATTTTACAGAAGAGATTCTGTGTAGACTTTGCTATTTGAATTTGAAGTTACTATGAAAGAGTTCTTCTCTGTGTTCTCAAATTCGAAGGTGTTTGGATGGCTGTAGTTAAAATTTGTAAACTTCCTGGCAGTTACTAACCACAGACATTTGCAAGTGCAGCTGATTTTCTGTTTTTTGAGTTCTATGGCATGGAGAAAGACCGAATATGTATACTTTATCCCGCTCGTTCAGTTTTGCTGTTCGTTCTTTCTGTTCTTCTATGTTTGCTTCCCTGCTCTCGCTTCCTTTTTCCTCCCCACCCCTGCTCTTCCCCTCTCTTTACTTTTCCTCATTCCCTTCTGATTTTAAAGAGAACTTCCAAGAAACAATATAATTGATGACTCCCCTTTAAGGTTCTTACAGAGAATCAGGTGAGTGCTAAAATAACCAGAAAACAAAGAAGCTGATGGAGCAATGATAGTGGCAGATATCAGTTGAGTCCTTCCTGGATGCCAGCGTCCCATAAAGCATGCTTCATATGCTTTCTTTCATTTAACCTTGCTAACAAGGTTCCAAGATAGATGCTATTATAACCCGTGTTTTACAGAGCCGGAGAAAGGTAATTCAGATCAAATAGCTAGACAGTGCTAGTGAAACTTGCCAAGTCTTTCTGACAACTGTTAACTAATAAGCTATGCTCCCCAAATAGTAAATTGCATGATTTTGAAGTTGCTAAAAATGCATTTCAAATAAATCATTCTGCCTAACATAGAATGAAAGAACTGAAATAAAATGAAACAAATACATAGCAAACAAAACTTTATTTGTTCTGTAGTTACCTCTATGGAAGGGCTATGCCCCCCTGTGTGTTCTCTTCCTGTGATAGAGTGTGTTTAATTAAAGCATGAAATTAGATTACTAATTTGAACAGTCAGTAAAAACATTTTATTACACATTTAAGCGACTGTGGCATATATGTGTTTTTATGTGTGGAACACGGCTCTTCTAAATGGCTTCTAGCATTTTACTTTATTTCTTCTTCCCTAAGTCATAGTGTCTTCACCATTGCTTTCAGGATCCTTAGACTGAGTGATTGTGATGTGAGTGGTGACCGTTTTCAGGCTGAGTTGGTTGTTTTTCCCTTAGGGAGGTATTTTGAGGACAGTACTGAGTCACGTCCCCAAATACTACACACTTGCCTCCCACTGGGTTGACTCAGGCTGCTGTGTCTTTTCACATAGTAAATGGAGCGCCACGTCCAAAACCATCACTGGGACAGCTATGGGCCGTGATCGTGCCAGGAAGGAATTTACCATTCCTTGCCCCTGTGAAGTTTAGAAGATTTTATGTGGGCCAAGAGGGAGAAGAAGCTTGATAGTTAAAAGTATCTTTTTAAAAATGAAATTTCCTTCCTTACCTTTTTGTCAAAATTTAAAAATTGGCTCTTTTGGGAAAACCTTGTAAACAGGTACATGAACAGTTTCTGGTTTTAAAGGATCATCATTGGCTTGCTTATCAAATATTTCTTGAAGTCCTTCTAAGGCTATATCAAAGTGAGTAAGCATTGCTCCTGCTTTTGAAAATATCACAGCACACACAGACGTATACAGTACCATGTGGTAAGTATTCATAACGGGGTATCGTGGGCAGAATGTGTGGGGAAGAGATGGGTTAGAGAAGGTGGTGCCAGGCCTTTCCCTGGTTACATGCAGGATGGAATATTGATGCGATAGGTATTTGAAATGTGCATCCCAGAGTGAGTTAGGTTCTTGTTTGCAAGGAGAGATGTAGTTTCTCTTTGCTTTTCCTATATTGGCATGAATCTATTTCTAGTCTGCCCCTCTCTCTGGTGGTTGATCTCTGTAGCCTCTACGCATACTTAACATGGTTCAGTGTTGTTGATCTAAGTTGGTGAATCTGTAATAGCATGAACGAAGGCGGTGCTAGTAATAAATATGCCATTTATGTAATTAGTGTCTTTTGTGTGC